GAAAAAGGGTAGTTTCTATTACATGAGGTTCCAGCTAAACACCCTGCCAAATGCAGCAGACAAGTAACTTGAGTTTTCCCGCCCCACAGAGAACCTCATAGTGCCCGCTAGCAGAACATGAAGGCTGTGTGTGATCGTTCGTTGCCTTTCAATCACTGATAATGGGTAGCCGCATAGCGAGCAGGACTAGCTAACAAGCTGCCTGTTGCTACAGTACTTGTCCTAAAAACTGAGCTTTAGCAACAAGATGCTGCCATAGGCAAACATTTTTGGCGCACCATCGAAGACAATTAGACTTGCTATAGACGTTTTTCTTTTATTAAAAAAATGGCAAGACTTCTGTCTAAAGCTTGAACGAATCAAGAAAGGAGAAATGGGAAAAGGTTTATCCAACTCGTATCTCCCGTCCGCCATGGGGTTAGGCGCAAAATCGTCAACCTACTGGCTTTCTTTGCGTCTTCTAGCACTGAAAGCCGTCCATGGATGTGTACAGGAGGGTGGTGCAGTAAAAAGGCACTTCTGCCATCGGAGGTAGGAGTCTCTATAGCCGCCTCTCCCGCAAACGAGACCATTACAATTCACAGCTTTGCAGAAATGCTCATGCAAAGTTCAGTTCGATCACTCTGCTAGCCATCCCGCTACAACATCTACTTATATTGAAATTGAGCCCTGAGCTACTTAACATCAGATTGGAAATATTATGACACATGTTCGAGCTTGTAATACCTATTCTCAAAGTGATCCGATGGTCAGCATAAGCAACAGTATCAAATGGACATTCCGTCTGTTGCCTACTGCATAGCGTACTGCCTGCGTTTTTTTACAGTTTTCGGGTCGCCAGAGACTGGCAGCAGCTGCTCCAATGGGCGCGCTTCCCTTCTTGATCGGCTAGAGTACGAAAGTTGCCAGACTAAGGATCTATGTTGAAATCCCAGTGACAATGAGCACTGCAACTCTGCTTTGACAATGTTAAGTATGATGTTTAATTGAAATTCTTCCATATCTTATCCTTTATTTGAAATTCTTCCATTTTTATTTTTTATTTCAATGAAGGTCCATTTCATGTTCGCTGGCCGCCTTATTGGAACATTGGAAACAAAATTATAGTCGTTATGCCATATTTATACTTGCTACAACACCTTAAATATGGTACGCTACCTTATTCCTGAGAAGTTGCAGTCAGCCAGCACCTTATCTCGAAAAGTATTCCAACGAAAAAATGTATGAGCAGGGAAAGTAACAGGACATTTTGCACAAGACTGAGAAAATGGATCGATTAAACCAAGAATCTCAACAACCGCTTCGTATATGTACATTTTTACTAGGACTAAGATCAAGTTCTTCGTATACAGCTACTGGCGTCAAAGTCAGCCAAAATGAATTTCTTATGTCCTGTTCCAAGCCCTTGAACACCAATAGGTCCGACTCCGGGAACTCCGACTCCTATACCGGAAGAAATACCAAAGATTCCACCGCCACCTGAAAGGTCAGATGATTAGTCAAGGGTCTTTGTTTACAAGAACACAAAAAAAATAAATAAACAATTACTTACCGCCTAGACCTCCGATTCCGGGCCGACGAGCCACCTACACCCAGACCTGTATGACTCCAATCCACAATGTCACACCGACTTACCAAAAGCCTCCTTCCACCTCCATTCTGGCTCACCGGCTCACTTGAAACACAGTTTGAATTTTCGATTCTCTCTTTCTCTACTCTTTGGTTGATTTTGGGCCGAAGGGAAAGCTAGGCAGCTCACGTGACTCCGGGTACCCTGCTGTTGCCTTGCCGCATGACCGCTCCTCGTCTCTTTCTTTGATTCGAGCTCTGGCGGCAGCTATCTGGAAGTATTCTGACTGATTCACTACAAAGTGGTTCACGGTGTTGTCGTCTCGTCCACCACTGAGCTGCGTGCTTTATTTCTCGGAGAACTTGTGGAATTCTCTTAGTTGGGATATGCAGAATAGGGACAAAGAAGCACCAAGTGCATAAAGCGTGCCTTGAAAACTTATTTCGTTTCGAGTAGTAAGGATTGTGGACCCTCTGGTCAATCTCGTTACACACAGTCTCGATCCCTGTACCCTTGGAATCCGTCGAAGCAACGTGCGCGGAAGTGCCCTCACGACGAAATTCTTTGCTGGGCGAGCCATATAAAAACCTAGAGCCACTGTGACGTGGTTTGAGAAAGCTGGGCTGTTAGTGTCTTCCAGTATGTGAACATCAGCCTCTGAAACTCCGCACGTGTAAATATCGAAGGCCTCTTGGAGCTGGCGGACGATGGTGGAGTCAGGCAGTTCGGAGGGGTCAACTTCGCAATCTCCAAAATTGTCCGGCGTTCGCGGCTCGAGAACAACAGTTAATCCTACCTACACAAAAGCGTTTTAACGTTACTTAATGTTTCAAACACGAGTCTATATTATTTCTGACTTAATTGATTTCACAACACTAGTTCTATATTATTCTGTTCGTATTTTCAAAGCTGCTGCGCGCTACAGTGCCTGGAGGATGAGAAAAGGCAGCTGCGCAGCCACTGGGAATGGAAACATGCGCGCGGACATATACCCTCGTCATCCGGGCAGTTGATTAGGGCGGTCGTCAACGGGCCGCAGCGCGTGCCAGGAACTATTTGCTTTTTCCAGGCTAATTTAGTCATTTTTTCCAACTTTTCACTGTTTTGGCTACTTTTTCCCAGATTAGCAGCTCCTTATCTTCACAAGGTGGAAAAAATGACTAAATTAGCCTGGAAAAGCAAATAGTTCCTGGCACGCGCTGCGGCCCGTTGACGACCGCCCTAATCAACTGCCCCGGATGACGAGGTTATATGAGGTTGTCCCAAAAAACTGGGGTATTTTTTTCTCGCATTAAATCTTCCCGCAGCAATTTCGATATCCAATTTGTGATCTATGGGGATGTGTGTTAGGTTGGTGGCTGCGAGCCATCGACGCGGCAATTTGCTCTGAGTTAGGTTCTGATGCTACCTTCCATAGCACGACGTTGTAATGGTTCGATCGCTTTCGCTCAAGTGACTTCTACTTGGGAGACAAACCTCATCCAGGCAAGGTAATTAGCGATTGAATTGAATCTACTGCGGTCCCTTGACAAAACCAGTTGCGTACGGGAATCAAGTCGCTGATTCTCGTCACACGTTGGACTGCTCCTGAGAGCCACTACATGACTACTCCCTCACGAAAAGTGATAATAGTATCGGTTAAATATTCATTCTTATGGAATTGACCGTGTACTTCAAGAATGTCATGGTCTCGCGGGTACTGTATGCAACTTCTCTCCCGATTCCGCCATAAGGGGTAGTTGAACAAAGTTATTATTGGATATGAAGCGGGTGTCTCTAGGTGCGCCCCTTCCGGGAGCGCTACCGGCTAGATCCTCCGTAAAGGGCGGAACCGGCCTTGCAATCCTATCAGTCCAGAAGGGCGTTGATACAGGGTAGTGGGTGGTGTCAACGGCAACGAATTTCTTCTTCTCAACGGTGACCAACGAGCCTCAGTAATCAAGCTGCAAAGGAAGGTTGAAAATCCCCCTCATTTGGATCCACAACCCAGCAATGCTGGCTGCTCCACCACAGCTCAGAGTCGCAAATTTCGAAAATGACACTGCTCAAGACATCGAAGCTTAGCTGGCGAATTCCACCACAGCACTCGTGTATGACTTAGCTCTTTCTAACAGCCATCTAAATTTATCCCTTAGCGGCCACCCTTCTGGTGAATGGAAAATACAGATAATTCAAAAGCACACCTCATAATATTAACCAGCTGTCCTTGCGTCTGCTGCCGGAACAAAAAAAGCTTCTGAAGCAATCAACGAACTCTTTGCTTGGCTAGTATGGCAAACGCTCTGCCGGCGAAAAGGCACCTATATACAGGGGAATCTAAAAGACATTTCGACCGAGTCACATATCAGCAAAGTTTTCGCAGCCCAGACAGAGGACGTGGATACGGGTACCAGGCGGAAGATACCCAAGATGTTCCTCTACAAGCAGGAGGCTCCCCATCTCACCTTCATTTACACCAAAAGAAGTCACCTCCAGTCAAAACCCTGATGGAGAAGTACCTTTTGAATCTCATTCACTCCAAACAGCTGCAAAACTTCTAGTATGGAGTCACCCATGGGATAGCTACCTGGAGAGCAGTACTCTCGATCTGGAAGACCTCCAACATCGAGCAGCTCCGTCAACGTCGCTACGGTCTAGGACATCATCTTCACCTCAGTCGCCAAGGCGCCAGTTGATGGTGGGGACCGGACGTACCTGGAATGGAGAGACCGATATTTTCTTCGTGGCCCCGGACTGAAGGTGAGCGCTGCGCGGTTTACATCGGCAAAATCGAAGAAAAATATCGCTCACATTCGCGCCCTACTTGGGAACTTTGTACTGCTACAGGATTGGGTGACACCACATGAAATTGAAGCGCGCTGGAAAAACTCTCGCCTACTTGGAATGGAAGGGCGTTCGAGTACCTGGAAAAGATGGAACATTTAAGCAGGTCACCTAAACGAAACCCATCAATTACCTGGTTCGGACGGAGTTCAATAGGGCGGTCTACAGTGGCGGAGAAATCAACGATCTCGCTGAACTCAGGCACCCACTCACGGTCGCGTGGCAGAATCTCTCGATGGCGCTCCTCCAGAAGGCTGCGGCGGGGCATTTAATAGCTGCGGCGGGGCATTTAATATTCTCTTTAATATGGTGGTAGAAATGTCCGATAAGAATTGAATAAAGTGTAACTTATAGCGCCTCGAAGTCGAGGAGGAAGAAAAGTCTTTTTTGGCCCCCCTGTACTGTATATTGTTTGTCGAAAACTTTCTGGCAAAGGGGGAAAAACCTGACTCAAGAAAGGCTCGAACATGTCACAAATTCATGGGAGAACCTGATATTTTGTGATACATAATCAACTGGATGGGAAGCACATCCATTCAAAGAGATCTTGTCTGACGCTGACAACCACTTCTTTCGCTTTTTTCCTCATTTTCAGTTTACTGACCACTCACACTTTCATTTTTGGGTTCCTCTGCAATGTGCTAGAATTCGGGCGGCTCACATTAGAGCCAACAGTGACAACAGTATACTGAAGGAATTCTTTCAAAGTCATCTTCCCACTCACCTCTTCACTGGTGATTTCTGGAAACTCTTCAGAGATCTCCTTCGCTTTGGATTTCGCATTCACAAACTTCTTCTCCCACATATCCTGAAAGCCACTTTTCTTGCCATGTTTCAGGCTTACTTTTCTAAAGACACATTTCGCGATGGATGGCTAGCGATAGATGGGTGGAGACAATTAATACGTTCTGCCTTTCCCATTAAACTGCTCCTTCCTTACTTCTATGTAAAGAGTAGGCGAAAGCATGAGTTTCGACCATTTGACTATTCGTCACATTTTGCCTTGAGCAAAATGGTCATAACGAGCGTGTCAAATTGACGAAGGTCCCCGTACACGTGTACCCAAATGTGGGAAAATCTCTTGACCAACCTCATCTTCCCAGTCGTGAGTGGAACCCTTAGTAGACCCTCTTGATTCTGACGTCGCTGACGGTGGTTCTGGAAACTCCTCTGCAAACATTTTCGTTACGAGCACAATTTTGCAGATTTAGAATTATCTCTGTACCGGATTCTTCCAAGGTCTCAATGCGGAACTTCTTCTTTTTGTGATGATGCCTTCGTCGATGAGGTCTATGACGAGAATAGTAGCTTGAATCACCATTATCATAGCTGCCATAGCCTCCGTTCGTGCCAAGGTACGAATACTTTAAACTCTAAAGCCTATGAGACTAAAGGCACATTAGCTCTTCAATGAGGACACACATTCTACTATGCTATTGGGGTTGTAAGCCTTCCAATCACAGCACACCATCACGTTGGGAGAATTCCTGCAAGATACGATTCTCTCAAACTTGCCCCTCTGGTACGACCAAATTTCTCACGCTCCTTCCCCTCTTCCCGAGTTTTTTTTTCTAAAGTTCAAGGGCGACGACGAGATGGGAACACTTCTAATAACTACCACAATAATAGTTTTCCACCTATCCACCAGCTGGCGGGATACGTGCGCCTACAAAAGAGGAAAATCACATCACCAATAAGAAATCTCGGGACCGACACGACTCCCGCGCCCAGCGAACAACTAAGACCCTAGTTGTGTTAAGAAGGACGGACGGAGTCCAGTCTCCAGAGACCAGACATTCTGAAAGGAGAAGTGGAAATTGAGGAGATCTTTTGCGATGATTTACTGCCTAGCAAAATGGAAGCGAAAGACGGAGAGGGGGCTGCAGCTAATAACCTAAAACAACTATCGACAACAGTTGGCTGTCCCAAGCATTTACTTGTTGAAATTATTACCAAAGCTCTTGCACGCTGAAAAAAAACCCTTCGTTGTACAATAAGCATCACAAATGTGCTCTAAAAGGGCGTATACCCTGGAGAGACCATTCATTTACAACATGGAGGTTGCCTGGTTCGATAACAATCATTTCTGCGCAATCAGTCAATCACTAAGAAAATCGCCAAAAGACCCATCTAATTTTTTACTTGATGCCATGCTGTGGACTAGCGTGTATTGAGACACCTAACGCGCGTACGAGAGTCGAGAATCGCGCAGAGAAAAGCAATTCAGCCGAAAACAAAATGTGGGATTCAAAGTATATGGGGTCATCCCCTTGAAAATGTGTAGACATTTAGAGGAGTGGCAGGAAAGCAAAGGGGCTACAATACAGTGTAGTACCTTTAGCTACGTGTCTCTGAAATTTGGCTAGCCTGGCCACAAGAGAACTTTTCGAGAAAATGAAAAGAAACCCGAGCTGTCAAAATCAGCGACGGACTATGGAATCGGGCGTCATACAAGGCAACTTCCCTGCTAAAATTCATCACGTGCTGGACCAGTACACAGTTGATGTTCTCGGGAGGGAATAGAACATTTGGTCCAGAAGTCCAAAGAAGGATGAACGAGAAAAAGTTGCGGCCCATAATGTTCATTATGTACAAGAAAAGCGGAAGGACGAAGTCAAAAGCTGAATATCTGGTCGTATTCAGGAAGACACTGCGTTTCTATCAGTTCAGTCTTGCGGGGACCCTGCCGAGCTCCCCGCAAGACTGAACTAATAGAAACGTTGTGGCTTTCTGAATACGATGTGGCCCATACAATGATTTATAGGGGCCACCGATGTCCATGTCAGTGTTGTTATCCTCTTACTGGTAGACGAATCTGGTAAGCCGTTCCCGGAAGGCGAAAGGCTCTATTTGGTCTAAAGTTATTGTTTTTCAAAGGGGGGGGGGGATATTTTTGTTCTCGTGCCGGATGATTTGTTTCAAAGCATTGCGCGCGACATAGCCCTTCTGTGGGTAACCAATGGCTACACGGAAGAACTCACTGACAACGCACATCCTGAAATCCCATATGGTAAGGGGATGCGGTCTTTAAGTACTCATCAATGTGTCTGGAACCTTGTTCTGAAAAAAAGCATGTTCCTGCCGATTCAATGTGACACGCATGTATTTCTACTACCCGAGCTTTTTTTGACAAAACTGAGGAATTCGTGAAGAATCCTTACTTCTTGTGCCTTTGACTATATGATTTAAAAACCTTTGATTATATGATTTAAAAAAGGGAGGAGAAGGAGGTGTGCTGACTCCTTACGAAATACTCAACGCAATGGTGTGCTCCGAACCGACTACGGCTGTTCCTTCTACAATGAATTCTCTCCCACTGAAAAAGATACCTGCAAGGAGTCGGGCACTGACATTGACTGTACATCATTGGTTGGCCGCACGGCCAGCCTGTCATAGTATAGAATTCTGAAATAAAATGAAATAATTTTTCAGTGGTCATAAATCCTTACAGGACAAGCCATGCATGTTTTCTCCCTCATATGCTAAGTTTTTTATTCCTTTTGTGGCTTTCTTCGCCTGTCTTTTTCATAACTTCACGAAATAATTTCATATATTCCTAGGAATAGGGCAGCGAATACGATGTAATGCAGGATCGCTAGAAATACGTCAGTATTTACTGATCGACTCCAAGCGAAGAAGAGTTTGTTCAGCGTTCAAAGGTTTGGGAAGTTGCCACCTTCCAGGTTTGGGAGGTTGAAGTGCAGGTTGCTGCGCTAAAAGGTGCGTTCATACTTTGCTACTCGAACGACTGCAACCAACCGCGGTCCACCGCTGATTGTCAGAGCGCTCAAAATTACAAGTTGTTAAAGTGACTTACAAAATTATCTCAAGTTTTATCCTGACTCTTCATAAGTTATCAATATAGTACTCAATGACTAGCGAAGCACCAAAAGATAGAAAGAAAGAAAAGATCAAGGCATTCACTCTCGAGACTAGGAACCATGCAACTGCGGTTATCCGCAGTTGCATGGTTCCTAGTTTCGAAAGTGCATGCCTTGATCACGAAGTACAACTTCTTTGGGCAACACAGTTCGGCAGGACATACTGAATTTTAGGCAGCGGGAGTTGGCGCTGCTCTTCGAGCAATTGACTGATGCACGGAAAGTTAAGAGTGAATGACCGAAATCTTATGATTCTGGGAATTTCGAAGACGAAAAAACAATCACTTCAAGAGGAGATCCTCGATGAGAAAGAACAGAAAAGTCACTTTTCATGTGATGTGTCGCTCTTGCGGCGCACAAAAATCCGTTTTTGCCTATACACTCCAAATTCCTGAGATGCGGTAGGCGTGGCTGTGATCATATTTCATCTGAACATGGCCTAGGATGGGTTAGTCCTGCGACACCTCATTTGAGACAACTGCCGTCCTGTCTTGTGTTGGACAGAAAACGTTTACAGAAGTGAGAAGGTTCCAAGCGAAAGCGCAGTCGCCGCCCCTTCGAAATGGATCACATAACCGTGCCCGCTGTACCCCTCACTGTTGTATAATACAGTCTTGTACGCTGCGGGAGTAAACCAAGTGGCATGATATGGACGCGGCGTAAGCCAGTTTTCCACCACTTGTGGTTGCCTGCCAGTTATTGGTGGAGCTGGCTCCAAGCGCAGCTCAGCCCCTGATACGCCCTAGCATCCGCAAGACTGCATTTATGCAACATAGTTGTTAAAAAACGCGCTGGCTTCAAATATTAATGCTTTTCAAGGTATTGATGATGGAAGGTGTAAGATTAATTTACACAGCTATGATTCTTATCAACTGCAACACAGCTATTTACTTTTTTCATGACGGAAAGCACTACGATCCCCTCTATGAAAAGAAGCTATAGAATTTCTCGCAAGAACATAAACATCGTGACTGCACTTTTCACAGAGGCTGCGAGAAGAGATTTCGCTTGGACAGCTCGGGAAATATCACTGAAACTCAACTGGTCACAGTGACGACATTCATTGTTAACATCGAAGCCATCAGACGCCAACAGAGTGCCACGACTTTTTTCACCGATAGCAACAGAAAGTTACGCGCTGATATTGTTTTGTGTCCTCATTAAGGGAATCCCACGTAATCTCAGCCCCATTTGACTCAAGATTAAAGGCAGTTGGCACGATGGTTTCCTACTTAGCCTAAAATGCTAGTAGGGCGCTGTATAGTGGGGAAATGGCGAAAGAACGGAGTGAAACGGTCAAAATCCGGCGAAGAAAAAGCCTCCGTTCTCAGTGACTTGTAAATCGATTTCGGACGAGTTTCCCGTAGGCATCTTGCCAATCACCGCTACCGAAGATACGGCTGCATATGTGTACCCATGTATGCATGCAGCATCACGGCCGCTTCATACCAATCCCTTCGCTTCATAATTTGCTTAGCAAATGAATGAATACGAGCGTCAGAAACGGTCGTCCGTTTGTGGGCGGGCGGGCAAGGAAGGCGTTTGGGACGTAAAGTTGTTGCTCAATAGGGCGTTATAGAGGTACCCTCCTTGGAAAAGGCTTCACGCAGCGCCTGTCCGAGGTCACGGAATTCTGTTAAGCCAGTTGTACAAATCCTACACCTGTATAGCGATTTATCGTGCCAACTGCCTTTAAGGATGGTGCGTAGTTGTGCCACACCCAGAGCACATCTGCGCGTTGGGTGGAATTTCTGGGAGTACGATCCCTCTAAATTTTCTCTTTTGACACCACACCCTTTCACAACCTCCTTATACATTTTATCTCATTAACTTTCAAATTGGCTCCAAATTTCGCCGACGAGCGGCGGGATAGAGGGAGTCTTGACACGTCCGTCCGACTGTTAGAAAAATATCAGGTTCGCGCTGCCGACTATTTAAGAATACTTGATGCGATAAAGCGGCAAAAATCACATGAATAGTTTCTAACCGAATGCGGCCCTCTGCCTCCTCTCAACGATCAACGCGAACCCCCTAGTTGTGTTCTACACGATGATGATGCTACTGCTCTTTTACCAATTTCGCTATGAACTGCGCATTGTGGAAAAGTTGTAGGTTCTGATCACTACATATGTTTTCTAGGCAGGTCTCAAAATGAATGATAAACTGTACATCGGAACACCGAATATTTCGTTGAAACGGACTTTGAGCGCTGACGCTGACGCTTCCGGCGTAGCACAGATTCTACTCCAAGGTTGCATGCAGAAACTACTGTCATGTTGCAATCACGACTCAACTGATATCATTAGTTGCACTTTTCAATAACTGGTTCCGTATTCCCTAGTTTGTTGAAAAAGGCACAGTAACAGGCACAGAGGCCCACTCGAGAGCGTCTTTTTGGAGATAAAGAAACACAATTGCGGTGACCGATACCTGCGGGAATGAGGGTCACCTAACCTTCCAGCAGGTCCTGGACATTTCATCGTGGTTTCTTCATTTTCACTTATCGCAAACTTATTGGTAGCCTTCTCAGCCTTCTACTACTTGCAGTTGAACTGGCAGTAACAAATCATAAAGACAAG